GGTGTACATGGAATCGTCTCACCGTGCGTCACCGGTTAGGCCTTGGCATGCTCAAGGAGTATAGTCGCTGCTCGTCTTCTTTTTCTTAGCCGCGGGGGAATCCCCCGGTCCTGGGCCCAGCTGATCCAACATTTTACGGGTCGTCGCAGCTGGTGCCCCATCCCTCTAGGCGATCTCTTCCTCGACCGTGGCATACGTCTGACTATGCGCCAGGACCTCGTCATAATTGGTCCCCGGGTTCCTCCTCAAATCCCGGTATAAATCTTCGGTGGCCAGGGCATTGATGAAGAGGGTAATGCATGTGCCTTCATCTAGGTCCTCGACCTTCAGAGTCTCATCCCTCCATCTGATGAGGAATGCAGATAGGGGATCGCCCTTGCCCTGTCGGACGCTCGTCAGCGAGCCAAAGTGTTTCTTTGATGTTGAGCTGGACGCGAACTGCGCCATGAATTGCCTAGCTAACCGGTTAAAGCTGTTTATGGTCCCGGGCCTCAACTGCCCGACCATTCCTGTACTAGCCCCCGAGAGGTGCCGAAGAAAAGTCTGCATATTGCATCGTCGGATGCTCCTAACATATTACCTTGGAAGCTAAGCATGTGGGCCTTGGGGTCCCCGGACCCATTGTACATCAGTAAGCCTGATGGTCTGCATTCTCAGGGAATATCCGCAGCCATGGTCCTTGGGGAGAATGGAGAAGTGAGTGACATGTGGGGCTGTTTCGGGTGTTCTCTACACGGAGGTTTAACTCATCAATCTGCCTCTGCATCGCTTCGATCCTGACCTCATGTGCGGCCATTTTTGGGGTCACAAGAGCACCTGCCACGAAAACGGCAACTGTTCTAGCAGCGTTTGCACAAGGCTGCCGCCGGATAATCTAGGCACCCTGCCTTGGGGAAAGATTCCCCATGTTGCTTGCCGTCAGGGTTAGTTCACTGTTATGATGGTTGTGGGGATGTTCGTCGTATGACCCTAGGTCTCATCCATTCTTCCCTGCCGAAATACCTCGACTTCGTTGCGGCCTCCCATAGTCCCATGTCCTGGGAAAACGGTGCTCCGCCCATTCGCGTGTGGACTGATGGGCAGTGGCCCTTTGATTCTTCCATCCGTTTTTCGCACGGCTGCATTTGGTGGATGGGCAAAAGGGGCGTGTGTTGAGTGTTCACCGAGTGCACACGCTCGTTTGCCTCTTGTTCGTCCACCATGCGGCGCATGGTTTCTGCTAGCTCCCTCATGACACCGAGGTCCAATCTGGCTGCCTAGGGGATGAGGTTTGTGATGTCGCCATCACCCCCTGCAGATCACAGACTCTCAGAATGTCCAGTGGTCTGCCCGCGTGACCTTTAGCTGCTGGCCAGTTGGTCGGATAGGTCACGTGTATGCTGGTTGTTGTTTCCTGCCATATTGCTTGCTTGGAGAGGGTTTTTAAGGATTTGCTAGGTGAGCTAGTTTTGGAAACTTTTAGATCAGGTTTCCAACAGACGGCGCCAGTGTTGAGATTTATTCCTTCAATCCAGGGGCCCAACACGTAACCCAAGGATTTCAAGTAGAGAGTGTATGAGGAAATGAAGTGCAAGCAAGTAAAGATGGGCTAATGTTTCTGTAGCAAGTGGTCTGTATCTTATTAAATGATAATAAGGGTTTGTATATAACACACTCTAGCTACCTGGCCTGAGGCAGACCGTTTATCTCAGATCAGTAAGTAAAACCTGAGAATACTGCTAAAAGCTAAGGAGAATAAGTTACCAACCTTTTACAGTGGAATAAATGCTACTATTTATACTATCAAGAGGTAGGTAGATCTGCTGACGTGGAGGGCTGTAGATGGCTAGGTCCCCAATCACCAAAGCTCTGCATTAAATATGCCTCCCGCCAAAATCTTGGTTTCCCGCCAAGGTCTATGGACGAGCGTCGTCAGGGCGTTGGGCTCCTTGCCTTATCAGAGTTACTTTAAAACATATCTAAATAAACTAAATAAATGTATTGATATATATGGATTCCTAATCCCTCCGTTATTCCATTCCATTTAGGATTAGGAGTCTTCAAAACTCAACGTGATTTGCTTTCAAATCACGTTGAGTTCTTCTGCTTTTATATCTCGAACTTAATAGATCCGATTACTACTAGAAACGATCAATGAAACGATGGTTAATCATTGATGATATGGTTTCACAAGTAAGTAACTTCGGGTTATTAATGCACGGTCGTGGTTAATTATCTTAAGAGAGATTAATTATGTTGGTTAAACCGAAATCGTTGTGTTGAGGTTATCAATCTCAATTGATTTCATCAAGGAGTTAGAGATTAAATGCTACTATCAAGTCGGTATATGGCAGTGTTCTATACTTGGCTAATAGTAAGGGTTATTAATGAACGGTCGTTGTTAATAACTACCCTCGATGAATTGGAGATACTCCTCAATTGAGTATTCGAGTGGGGATAAGTTATAGATATAACCAGGATCAACAAGCATATCAACAAGTGGAAACTAGCAAAACCAAGTTCATTTTATCTTTGAATTAAATCACATATAAGTTGTTCATCTTGGTGTTTAATCAAATTAAATCACTCAATCCCAACCCCCCTTATTTACTAGTTTCATAAAAAGAAAGTTATTCCTTTCCCTGTTGATACAAATTCTACTTCACTATACTACGTATTAGTGCTAGTATTGAATTTATTCTGAGGCACACAACGACTTTAGTGCCGTCAGAGATGGTAACAAATGGGAGTTTTAAGATTGTTTGATTTGAGAATAATTAAATACTAAGATGAACGACTTATATGATTTAAATCAATGAAACAAAGACTTGGTTTTACTACTTCCCACTTGTTGAGTTGTTTGTTGGTCCCGATTATATCTTTAAATTGTCCCCTCTCAAATATTCAATCATGAATTATCTCCAATTCATGGAGGGTAGTATTAATAACGAGACCGTTCATTAATAACTCTTACTATTGCCCAAGTACAGAACACCATTATAAGCCAATTTGATATTAGCATTTAATATCTTAACTCATTGATGAAATCAATTGAGATTGATAACCTCAACACAACAATTTCAGTTTAACCAGCACAATTAATCCCTCTTAAGATTATTAATCATTAGACCATACATTTAATAAACCGAAGTTACTTGCTTGTGAAACCATTAATGATTAACCATCAGTCATTGATTGTTTCTATTAGTAATTAATGTCAAAGTGTTAGCTAATCGTCACTTAGCAACACCACAACATTAATATTGAGATAGAATAAGGTAATAATTAATATTCAAGGAAATAAGTTTAAGAAATTAACTCAAAAATTGAGATAGAAACGGCTGTAAAGGACGATTCCCCGCTTCTAGCTCTCCGCTCTGAAAGAGAGCATGTCATGTACAGAGACTCTTATTTCCCATATACGGTCCATCACCAATGCCCTTGGAGTCTGTCTAGAATGGCGAGACCTCTGAGACCTTGCTGGAGGTGAGTTCCTCTAGCAGTGTGAAGATACCGCCTCCACCTCCTCCCGGTGTGGTACCGATGGTACATGACGGGGAAAAGGTCGCCTCTCATCTGTGTTGGGAATGATCCACTGGAAGGCCATGGTCAAGGTTTCCATAGTCCACTGAAAAGTCGCCAAACTTGCCAAGGTTTGATTGGTATCCACGCATGGAACGAGATTCCCTATCGCCGGTGTTCGAAATTGAGATGGACAAGTTGTAGGGTGTCTGGAACTCCCCACCCCATGCAGACAATTTTGCAAATCTCCTAGGGTCAACATGTCGTCGTTCCTCCTATGGAAATCGTTGCGTCGTGAACGAGATCCTTCATTCCCAGTCATGACTTGGTGCATTCTAACATTGTCTTGGTTACTGCGAGCACGGCTGTGACTGTGTGATCCAACCATTGTTTTTGTCGTAAATCGACTCTCAACGAGAGCACCAGATGAGACAGTTCAATTCCAACCACGAAAGCTAATCTATGAGAGTAGAAAGATTTAGGTAGTGTAAGGCAGTTTTATTATTCAGGAGGCGGATCCCGTTTAGGGTAAGTAGAGGAGTATTTATAGACGTAGAGCCATAGTAGCCTAAGAGATATAATTGATACATTTAATAGTCTAATCATGATAGGACTCTTCTAATATATCCCATTATTCCGCATTTATTACTCCTTCATGTCCATGTTTCTTCCGTTAAATCACTGCCACTGTCGGATAGTTATGCACAACAGATAGCCTGCCATGCATGTCAACCCTAGGGCGAGCCTAACCTTGCTAGAATCCCGTCTAGGCTCGAGGTCTGCTGTCCAGGACGACCTAGTTGTGGGTTCCTTTCGCGGGTCATGATCCCTTGTTAGGCTCAGCCGCTCTTTATTAATTAATTCCGATCAATGGGCTTGATTCACCGATCCCGTATAATGGGCTTCACATATAGTTTGTACTTGGGATATGGTCGTGATCCATGGTACCATGATACCATCACAAGTTTTGAAATGCAAAATTGAATCGAAACCGAACCAAAGTCTTTACTTGGTTCTGTATTTGTATTTTGGTCAAAATAGAACAAAAAAACGAACTACCTCTATAAAATAAGTTCCCCAATAAATGAATCTTTTAGATCCACCCCTGAACTCAGATGTATCCTAAGAGCAACTCCAATGCTGAGGTGAGTTGCTATTCCACCTCAGCAAATGCACTTGGTGAATAGGCTTGTCCTCTCCAATGCAATAAAGAATAATTGAGGTGCAACTGATGTGGCAAAGGAAAAAATGGAACAATGTCTCATACCAGGTCCATCTATGGACCTTCGGTTGCACCCTCTGACACGATGCAAATGAAATTATTGGGGCTACTTGCATGGAGGACCACTTATTTTTTTATTCTCTATTTTCCATTTTTTTCTTTTGCCCTTGCGTTTGTTTGCCTTCTCTGCACAGCAGTGGTCTCCAACGGACCTTGTTTTATTTTTAAATTTAGTCTCATTTGAACATAGACCCTCTCACAAATTTTGCCACCTCCCTTGCAATCCTCTTAGAGCATTGGAGTTGCTCTAACTATTCGAGAGGTGTCAGGATCCTCAGGATGGAATGTTTTTAGAAAATATCCTTTATTCCCTTGCATCGATTTTATTACGGAGTACGTACTTGATAAACTAACTTAATACAAAAACAGAAACGTAAGACGGAAACTAACTGCGGCCTATTCTTGCTCCAGTTAGTAGCTAACTAGGTAGGGTCATTATTGGGCTCCACAAAATGTGTACACAAATTGTACCTTATTGTCTATGTACATAGGCATTTAGGCGAGTTTTTGCATCAAATCATGCCCCTTTTCAAAGGAATTGCTTGTGCACTACAACTCATCTACCATCACAATTTTTCAACTATAGTACATAATAATCTCTCCGCCATTCACAATTTCTTAGAAACTTTCTTCATCACTTTCCTCGATCTCATGCACAAACCGCAGCCATGTAATTTTTTATTTTCTGAAGAGCGCGCGAGTTAGAATAAAAGGAAGAGAAATAGAAAGAGGGAGGTCCATATGGGGTGGTGAGCAGCAGATGCGGCGGCGGCACCCTTTTGTGCCATTTGCCAGACCTGGAGTGATGCAGTAACGACGGCGTCAGTGGCGTTGTTGAACAAATATAGTTTAGCCCCAGCACCAATTGCCTTTGTTGGATACACTCTTGATGTGATGCACGCTCTTCCTCCTTGACCAAAACTTTCTACTATTGAATGATCCACCTGCATCATGCATATAAGTAGGTAAATATAACCATGTTTTCTTTTTTCACTTTTTCTACAAGTGTATTCGCGCGGGTGTGTGTGAGAATGTTCCCCACCGTCCGATCACTTAAATTTGAGGTGCTTCCGTGTAGATTTTTTTGATGAAATTTTGTGACAATGATGTTCATTAATTGAAGATTTTGTCCACAATATCAACTTAAAATTCAATAGGAAAGTCAATTAAAAGAATTATTGTAAAAAACTACACAAAAAAGAAGAAAATGATAACTTAATGTAAAAAAAGGTGATATAGGTCGGCCGTCACATGTTAAAAAACAAGGTGATGGAGTTGAGATCTAAATTTACCGAAAGTATGTGAAACGTATAAAAAATATGAATATGGTAGCATAAGGCAATATACTTTTATTCCGAAAGATCAATCGGCCGTCCCTTGGTAGGGTGTTTACAAGAAGTATTTATAGACTTTATGAGTCATTAATTTAGGAGGAATCTCATACAATAAATGATAATTAATGAACTATATTCTTGCTCGAAATAGAACTCCTCTCATGCCTTGGACGTCAAACATTAATTATCTCCTTCTTGTTTCCAAACTCCGGACAAGTCCCGCCTGTTGCCAAATGCTATGTCGAATAACCGCCTGCCACGTAAACCCGTGGAATATCCTAGCCTCATTAGAACTCCGCACAGGCTCGAGGTCTGCTGTGCAGCCCGGCCTGGCTATGGGTTCCTATCGTGGGCTTAATCCCATTTGGGCCTGGCGGCATATCGAACATTAATCCCGTTTATGAGCTAATCTTATTAATTAGGCTAATCCCGTTAAGGGCTGATTCCGTTATGGGCTAATCCTGTTAATTAGGCTAATCCCGTTATGGGCTGAATTATGTTATTGGGTCATGGTCCGAGTCCATGGTACCATCACAAGGCAACGTGCCGACTGACGAATTCCCTTCTAAAAGAGATAAAATTTGAGTAGTAGAAGAACGTAATTGATTTAAGTTAAAGTATGGAGGCTTTAAAAATTGAATCAAAATAAAACGAACACTCAAATTAAATCACCCCACAAAGAACCCGAAACTGGTATAAAAACCGAACTAAATCGTAGTTCATTGGTTCAGTTAGGTTTTTACCATTCAAAACTGAACTAATTAAAATATGACATTGGAAAATGATCAAATAAGCCCGTGTACTGTGTCACAACTATCACTCAAATCTATGTACTTAAATATGTGTCACATACATCTATTTACTTATAAAAATGGGTCATTTAAACCATATAAACCATAATTTGTTTTGCTTATGTGGCATTTACCTTTTATTTCTTTACAATTTTGTTTTCCATTTCTTTTCTTTCTATTTTGTCTTTTATATTCTCCTTCTCCTTTCTGGGTGCACTATTTTGTCCACCTTCCCCCATCCGACGTTTTCCCCCAGTTTTTTTACCTTAATTTCCTGTCTTGACCAAACATTTATACTCAACCAAAAAATGATTCTTCGACACGTTGTCCATGCTTGCAGTGTTTCTTCTGCATATCTTATTAATTAGTTGGTCACAATAAATTAAAGACTCCCAAAAAGAAGGTGTAAGTAGAGGCGGAGGCAGAGCACTCGGCCGGAGTAGGCCGGTGGTACAAAGAATGTTTTTTGGGAAAAACATTTACACGGAATTCTTACATTAAAAATATAGACACTTTTTAAATTTGAGTTGGGTCGGGGCCAGCGTTTCCCCCTAGCTACGCCCCTGGGTGTAAGCTAACTCTAGGTATTCAAGTCGGAATTCATGGTGGACAAATATGGTGGCCGCATGTGTTCATAGCTCTACCGGAGATCAAGACGGTGGTTCGGCGGAAAAACAAGGGTTTTTAGCTCCCTAATCTAATACAACACCCTTTGGACGACCCATCATCCCCACCCTGCGGCCACCCCCATAGTAACTACAAGAGCACCCTATGGATCGGGAAATGTAAATTAAGAAGGTATATACTTGTATTTCAGAAAAGGAAAAATAATATGCCCATACTCATATAATTCAAGACATATTTTTTTTTTATTTATTCTAGTATACTAGCATTGTTTATGTAAACTATTTGATCCATCGACTACGATATCATTTCAAATAAAATGACAATTTTTAGAAACAAAAACCAAAAAAACTGAAACTGAACCAAAGCAAACCGTACCCATCAAACATTCAAACCGTTGTTACAAGTTTTGAAATGTAAAACAGAGCTGCAACTGAATCGAAGTTTCTACTTTGGTTTTTGGTTAAAAACGAATCGTAAAAACCGAAGCCACCCCTAGTACATAGTAATAATGTAATATTTAACTCTATTTTATTTTCGTATATGGTATCAGAAGCCTAGGTTTTTTTTCTTTCTTTCTCTTTCACGATTCACCATGGCCGGTCTTCCCTTCACTGTCACCATGACCTCGGCGCCCTTACAGCAGGAGCAGCCGTCCTCTACAGGAATCAATTCAGCGCCCCAGACTATCATCGCGCCCTCCTCAGCGCCCAATTCGACGGAGTAGTGAATCGCAATCAGTTTCAATCGTGCACTAGGCGGAGGTTCTTCCATTGAAGACGGTTCGAGCAGTGCAGTTCGTTCCAGCCCTTTTTCCTCGCCGCTGGTTCCTTCAATACGTCACCGGATGCCAGATATTCCATCGCTGGACGCTTACAATCTCTTCCACATGCCGCCGCCGTTCACCTGGACCCCAACCACCAATCTTCCTCCGCCACCAGTGATGAACGTTCCAGAAGTTGGCCCATCTGCTGTGAGATTTGCTGGACCGACATTCACTACTCCAACACTCTCACAGATTCCACCGCCTACACAGGCTCTGGCCGAGACCAATTTTGCACATCCCCCAGGTTTCTTATCAGTTTTGTCCTCTCAATTAACGTTCTCAACACCAAATGTGACTAATATTGTTACTACCCGATTGTCTGCCGTTGAGGATTACATGCCATGGCGTACCCAATTTGAGTCATTCCTGGTATCTCACAGTCTTATTGGGATACTAGATGGCTCAATTCGGGTACCGCTTGTCACTGATCCCGACTATCCACACTGGTTGAAAATCGACCAGACGGTTAGATCTTGGCTTTTTGCTACTTTGGCTAGGGATATTTTGATGGAGGTATATGATTTAAAACATTCCTCTCTTATCTGGGAGCGTCTTGAATCGCATTTTATGTCTGCCTGTTTTGCTCGGTCTGTTGAACTTAAGCGGTCCTTGTCACATATTAAAAAGAAAGAGTCACAGACCATGGACCAATATTTGTTAGAAATCAAGTTAATTGCGGATGTTCTTGCTATGATAAATTCACCTGTTAGTAACCGTGATTTGATGGAATATGCTATTTTGGGATTGGGTCGAGAGTTTGAACACCTTATCACGACTATATCTTATTTCCCTGGGAATGCTACACTTCAATCTTTGCGCCCGATTCTTCAAGCACAGGAAAACCGGTCTACTACCAATCCATCTCAGGACCAGTCCCCTGTTCATCAGGTGTTTGCGGCAGGACAAGCAGCCCCAGCCCCAGGACGAGGACCTGCTCCTCGAGCACCTGGTGGGTATGGTGCAGGCGGACCTCGTGGTCACGGCGGACGCGGCAACCGAGGAGGCAGACCTCGAGGTGGCCGTGGACGGGGCGGCCGTGGCCAACCTCAGTACTATCAGCAACAGTTTGGAGGATATCCGGCGTATGGAGTTCCTTATGCACAGCCGGCTCCTCCACGTGGACATTCTTATCCGGGTGGTGCAGGTTCGGTATTTAGTAATGTCAGTTCTGGTTTTGGTTTTACTAATCACTTTCCTATTTGTGTTACTCATAATGTTAGTGCAGGTTTTCCATCTGTTGAGAACTCCTACCTTTCACCTGCTCCTCCAGTTGTATGTCAGCTTTGTTTCTCACTCCGCCATCACTTGCTCACGTCTCACCTCGCAAAATACTCCTGCTCTTGCGGCTCTTCCAACTGGTGAAACACATGATTCGGTCTGGTATCCTGACTCTGGGGCTTCCGCACACATGACTCCGCATGAAGGTATTTTATCTTCTAAATTTGCTTATACTGGCCCAAATCAAGTTTGTGTTGCTAATGGTACTAAATTACCTATCTCTAATATTGGTCACGTTAAATTAATCACATCTGGCCGCCCGCTACATTTAAACTCTGTTTATCATGTCCCACACATTAAATATAATTTACTCTCCATCCAAAAATTGTGTGCGGATAACAATTGTGAAGTGATTTTTAATAAAAATTCTTTTTCTGTTAAGGACCGTCAAACGGGGGAGCTTCTTCTTCAGGCCACTAATAAAGATCATGTCTACCCATTTACTGCCCTTCAAGCCCGAGTTGTACCTGGTCCTGTCTGGCACAAGCGTTTAGGACATTGTGGTGATAGGGTTATTTGTACACTTAGGCAAAATAAATTAATTAGTAGCTCTTCAAATTTTACTCATGATTGTGTTTCTTGTAAGTTGGGTAAATCCCACAGACTCCCGTTTTCTGATTTTATTCATGACACCCTTGCACCTTTGGAAATTATTCATTCAGATGTTTGGCAGTCACCAGTTGTTTCTAATCTCGGTTTTAAACATTATGTGTCATTTATTGATGATTTCTCTATGTATACTTGAGTTTACCCTATGCGTAGGAAGTCTGAAGTTTTTACACATTTTATTAATTTTCAAAAACTGGTTGAAAATCTTTTGAATGCCAAAATTAAAACTTTTCAAAGTGATGGTGGGGGTGAATTTGACAACTCTCTTTTTAACACACATTTTTTAAATTTCGGCATTTTGTTTAGGAAGTCATGTCCTAATACTCCGGCTCAAAATGGGGTGGCTGAACGCAAACATAAACATTTACTTGAATTAACTAGGACCTTACTGATTGATGCTTCTATTCCTAATCACTTTTGGGTAGATGCTCTATACACCGCCACTTTTATTATTAATCGTTTACCTACCCCTGTTTTGAAAGGAGTATCTCCATATCAAAAGCTCTTTAACAAATTGCCTGATTAAAATTTTATGCGTGTATTTGGATGCTCTTGTTTTCCTAATTTTATTGCTGCCTCCCACAATAAGCTATCACCGCGTTCTATACATTGTGTTTTTCTTGGGTATGCTCCAGGTTATAAAGGGTATCGTTGCTTATCTTCTTCTACAGGCCGGGTTTATGTCAGTCGGGATGTGATTTTTCTTGAAAATAATTTTCCATATAATTCTTTAATAAACACATCTTCCTCACCGACATCAATTTGACACTTTTCCCTTCTTTTATCATGATTCTTTTATCATGATGGGAATCTTGCTAGAAATGTGTAAGGATAATTAATGACGCCACAGAGGGCATTTAAACAGTGGGGCGGGGGGGTATATACTTGGTATTTAATGAAATATAATTAATTACCAATATTCTCATGAGCAGTCTTTCACTATCCAGTACTGGAACCATGGTACCATATGTTTCCTTTCTTACGTCTGTGGCTTGGGATGACCTGCAAATTACAAAACACGTCAAATTGAACAATGTATGTACGTACGTATAGTAAAACGTGCATGCATTTTTTTTTTTACTCCAGGGGTCTAGGGGGAGGGGAGGGCGTTGGGGGGTCTGGAATAATCAGGGTTGAAACTTACTCCATTTAATTTCAAACCTTTATGTGCCTAGCGGCAGGGGAGGATCTATGTACGGGCTATGGTAGGCTGAAGCCCAAGACAACTTAGAGTTTTTTCAATTTTTTAGTGTAAATTTTTTCACTTTTAACATTTAGCCCATCCCGCTAATATTGAAGTCTATTATAATTTCTATTCAGCCCAGGGCATCTCATATTCCTGAATACGCCCCTGCTGGCTAGTGGGTTTCGAACTCGAAACCTCCCAGGCTCCCACTACGCACGGTAACCTCACAACCAGATGGGCTGGAATGCTTGGTTGCATGCAAATATATACTTCGTATATAATGTGTGTATACCTACGTTAACAATTAAGGTGCATATATGATATGATAGATGGAAATGATGGAAGAACATGCATGCAAACATACATACTTGTATATACCTTAAATGATCAGCACAAAAGAATGTTTTGAACTTTCCTTTTGCATCCTTTGCAATGTAGAAGTAGATAGGAGTTTGCTCGGAGAATTCCAGGTTAGCTAAAACAAGCAAGCCAAACGGCCCTAAGGCGCCGCGTTGGGCTGCGCCACCACCACAACTGTACGGAACGTCGCTTCCTCCACCTGCCTTTCCTAATGCCTCATCTTCTACTTCAAATACACCCTCAATATCCAACTATATATTCAATTACATAAAACAATTACACCACAACTTTAATTTATCTATACCTATTGCTGTTTCTATAATATTTTTTTGGATTAAACGTTGTTAAGTGTTAGTTTGTTAGATCTATACTTTTAATATGCACATATAAGAATAAAATAAACTTCACTATTTTGCGGGAAATTAAAGGCCTAATTATATTACAGATGGTATTAAAGTCTCCTCCCATTGAGTGTATAGTTTATTTGTTTGTTTGACACTCATTTCTTGGAATAAAACCCATGCATATATGTGGACTAGTTTGGTGTATTTATCTAGTTCTCAATTTTTCTAATCCGGTGTGTGTTGCCGGAGAGTTAATTATCTCACATCAGACGTCTACGCCGCCATATTTGTCATATATGGAGTATATATCTACTACTAGCTCCTCCGTCCCAAAATTAACTTGTCATTCACTATTTATTGGTCAACTTGAATCACTCCTAATCTTTTACTTTATATATCAAATTTATATCAAACTTAAATTTTCTTTGATCAGGCTTTGTAGCGGAATTAATGTAGTTTCTGAATATGTAAATTTTATTTACTAAAAATAATCCGAGTTAAAACAGGGATCAAGTTGCTTTATCGTTAGTCAAGCATCGTAAACCGAACGGGAAGTTGTTTTAGGGACGGAGGTAGTATATAAGTATGATACGATAGTATAAATTTAACCTTTATTTGGGAATCGATCGATTTGAAGTACATTAGGACCAACCTAGTTAAGTTTGAGAGAATTCTCATAATAGGAGTAAATATACTCTCTCCCTATTCTAAAGATTGTTACCATAGATTTTAGCGCATTGTTTAAGGATGAAATTAATTAGTAGAAGTAATGAATAATATAGGAATTAAAAAAGTAGGAAATGTGGTGTAAGAGTATACAAAGTTAGAGATAATTGACTATTTTTAAAGATCGATCAAAATGAAAAGTGTAACTAAAATTAAAATACATACCAAAAAGAAAGTTTAGCAAACATTTAAATGCGGAGAGAACCTTTTGCCGCTGCCACCAATAGCCCAATCTCGAGGTTCAGCCGTCAGTAGCCCATCCCGAGGTTCAACCGCCAGTAGCCCAATCCCGAGGTTCAGCCGCCAGCCACGACTAAACCCCACTGAACTCTAAATTAAACCTCTAATCCTAAACACTAATAAGTGTTTTTGTCTATACACAATTTTACTCCCGTTTAGGGAAATCAAAATATTAACTCCAATTTAAACATTTCTCTTATGTTGTACTCCTATTTTAGGCAATTTCTTAATTTTTAGTAAATTCATCCCAGTATCCCACCATGAAATTTAGAATAGAAATCCGGTATCCGAAACAATTTGTCCAAATAGAATATTTCTTTACGCCAAATGGGTTAAATCTTAATTATGATAATACTCCCTTTATCCTGCTAAAATTGTCTTAACTTTCATTTTCAGTCTGTGTCACTATGATTCTCACATATCAAATGTGGTAAATGTGATTCTAAATTATTCTTACTATATCAATTCAATATCAACCACATAAATGAACTTAACTTAATAACTGCATCACCTTCTTATGTCCCAACAATAGTGAGATAAATATGGAATAAATTAGTTGGGTACCTCCTTAATTGGAATGTTTAAGAGAATTCAAGAATATTGCAAAGATATAGTGAGATAAAGATAGAATAAATTAGTTGGGTACCTCCTTAATGGGAATGTTTAAGAGAATTCAAGAATATTGCAAAGATGAAATGTGTGTATAGAAGTATGGAATGATCTAGAATACTTTCTAGGTATATAGAGATGTAAGGAAATACATAAAAGTGTGTAAATTAGTGTAGAAAATTGTAGAGTTTTCTAAAGATATGTGTAATTTTCTACGATCAAGAGGAAGGGTGTGAAAAGCCTCTAGAGCATTTCTCTGTATGGTAATGCATGTGTAGTTGTACGTATAGCTACAGAGAAAATTTTATATGTTTGTGAGTGTTTGCTGTAAGACTTTAGAAGTTTAGATGCTAAGGAGTAAGGGATTAGAAATTTCTAATGAAGACTGCTTGTTTGCTCTAGACAATGGCATAAATACAGTTGAGTTCGATCATGTCACTCAAAAGGATGCAAGAGTAAGGGCCTCGCCCTTTGAAAAAAGGAGTGCGAGAAGAGAGCCAAAAACCTCCAAGTCACGTGTACGTTCTGCATGGGAGTTAGCCTTAGCTACTACTGAGCGCAATTGTAACCGGTACAGATACCCGCATGGAACCGCCTCGGTCAAAGCGGGGAAAACCGCATAGACTCATACCCGTTTTGATTTTAAGGGTAATGGGGTGGTTACGGTTTTATACATGCCCGCGCCATTCCCCGCCCCGTACCTGCCCCATTTATTTTTTGCTATATTTTTGTTACATTTTTATCTATTATTTGTCCCACAATTATAAAAAGATGAGATTTTTCTATTTTTATTATGTATATATGAATAATAGATCTATAACAAATCTTATACACATTCCAATAACAGATCTATAACAATGTATTTATCTATTGTTACGAACTATAATGGCTGAATGAAAGTTCATAACAGATCTTATACACATTCTTCTTTGATTATTATCAGATTTTTTTGTGATTATTTTTCATATCAAGTTTTTCTAGGTTCAAATTAATTAAGGTTGCGTTCTTTCTCGTCTTTTAGATATACGATACTTTAAAGTAGCGTATGAGTCTAGAGTCGTCTAAGTGATCCCAGTTTCCGCCTTTTAAAATATTATTTTTATATTAAAATGTCAATGACTCATTTAATAAATGTGATTACCCACAGTTATCCGTGATTATAACCGTTACCCGTTGTGGCGGTTATGGTTTGCATAAAAATTACCCATTGGATAAGAGCTTTTAGTCGACTACATGTTTCTTTTTTTCGGATTTTCCCTCCCAACATTAACTTTCAGTACTACTCAGCAACATGGGGGCACATGGTTATCTCCTTTCATGAGTCCATCCCACCACCACTCATCTCCATGTTTACATAATAAAGCTTCTCTTTCCTGTCGAGTTCTATTTTCTAAGGCGGAGGCAATACTCCCCATCGCCAGCGGCGAATACCAGTGTTTGAAATAGCGGATCGCTACCGCTATAGCGGCCGCAATATAGCGGTTGCGGTAGGCACCGCTACGGTCCGCTATAGCGGTGTGATTTTCGAATCACGGGAAAAGTCTGCTACGCCGCCCGCTACAGTCCGCTACCAGCACTTCCGGCAGTACATCACGAACTGGTTGATGTGTAAATATGTAAATGTTGTGTGAATGGTGTGAAAAAATACATTAATGGTGATACATGGAATAAAACTCTAAATTAAATGTACATGTATCCACATACATTATGGTAGCAAATATTAATAAATATGTAAATTATAATTATTAAAACCGCATTAACTATTAATAAGGATGATTTAACTTTAATATCGGTTCATGAAAAAAATGTTGACTTAACAAAACAATTTGGAACGGATGTGGTATTATTATGGATTATGCAAGTTGCAATGCATGGTCTACTTCTTAAAATTTGATTGTGAAAGGACAACAATTTTTCATATAAGTAATATATTTTCTGGACGGAGGAGTATATCTTTTTATTGAAAATTATTTATAATATACAAATGAAATAATAATATTCTTTGTTAAAAGTACTTTCATAAAAGTATAAAATTTATAACTTTTATAATGTTATACTACGTATTTGTAAAAATCATGATCCAAATATTTCACGCCGCTGCAACCGCTACATGCGGCTACAGGCCGATACCGAGATGACCGTTGCCGCTGCCGCTATGGCTATTTGAAACAATGGCGAATACACCGGATCTATTTCAAAATCTTTTCTCCTTTCTTCCTTGACTTTGGCCATGTGTCGTAACTGTCACGATATGCCGGTCTTTTTTGGTAAGTATCTTCCTCTTCCATCTTCTTCTCCCCCATGCTCACTGCCCTGTTTTCTTTTCTGTTTTTTTGTTATATTCTATTGTTTCATATGTTTAACCTTGAGTTTTAAAATGAAAATTGCTCTTTTAGATTTGTAAATTTTGGATTGAAAATTGTGAGCCGCCAACAATCACATATCATAATTTTTTCTTATAATGCCATTTTAAGATGCCAATAAAATGCCATTTTTTTTAATTAATGCCATTTCAAAGTTATAATAAGGCGTCTTTGACAATTAAATTAGTGTCATGACATGGGTGACAATATAAGTCCCTAAGTTGGCACTATATGACTCAACTTTTGTATTTTCAGAATAGATATCTACATACATCAATCTCGTCGGAGGCTACGGTAGCGGTGCCAGAAGACACGGCTTCCGCATTGTATTGTAAGGTGTTAGAAACAGTTTCTTAATTTATTCTGGGAAACACGTTTCTTAATTTATTTTTAGAAACACATCCTAATTTAATTAGGGGTTATGTTGCTTTGGGAACAAGACACTGCATCTCTATAAATACCACTCTCCTCTCTTGTAATCTGCATCCAGAAAATATTAATAACATTCCTGGCTTGGTAGCGCCCCCAGACGTAGTCCTCTGTGGCGAACTGGGTTACCAAATTTCGTGTGTTCTTTAATTGTTCTTCGTGTTTGTGAGTTAAATTCCCAACAACTGGTATCAGAGCCCTAGGTTCGAAGGGAGAGTTCAACACGATGGCAGATTTGAAGACACCGTTGATGCAGTTTGATGGGACTGATTTCGGCTTCTGGAAGCTGCAGATCGAAGATTACCTGTACGGTAAAGATCTGTATCAACCTCTGGAGGATAAGCCGGAAGACATGAAGGAGAGCGATTGGAAGTTGCTGGACAGGAAAGCGATGAGCGTGGTGCGATTGTCGCTGTCCAGAAACATCGCCCTACACACTGTCAGAGCAAAAACGACGAAGGAGATGTTGCAAATATTAACGGATATGTATGAGAAACCTTCTGTTGCGAACAAGGTACATCTCATGAGGCGTCTTTTTAACCTTAAGATGTCAGAAACCACGAGAGTTGTGGAGCATCTCAACGAGTTCAATTTAATCACCACACAATTGAGCGTGGTTGAGATCAAGTTCGACGACGAAATTCATGCCCTAATTCTGCTGTCTTCTCTCCCGGAAAGCTGGAACGGAACGGTGACTGCAGTCAGCGCTTCGGAAGGGGAGGAGAAACTGAAATTCGATGAAGTCAGAAATCTGGTGGTAAGCGAAGAAATTCGCAAGAAGGAATCAGGTTTGGCTTCTGGATCGGCGTTGAGTACAGAGAACCAGGGTAGAACGAAGTCAAAGTCAAAGTCAAATCGGGATAGATCAAGATCCAAATCCAAGTCAAACAGCAAGGGCAAGAAGGACAGAAGTCAGATCAAGTGCTGGAATTGTGAGGAGTACGGACACTTCAAGAGCCAGTGCAAGGAGCAGATCAAGGATCAGAAGGAGAAGACATCTGCCAATGCAGCGGCAGAATCATCGGGTGATGATCTCCTGATTCTGAGTGTGAGCAGTCCGTTAGAGTCATGGGTTCTGGATTCTGGAGCCTCGTTCCATTCATGTGGTAACTCTGAAGTGATGGAACAGTATACTCCCGGCAATTTTGGAGAAGTGTATCTTGCTGATGATGAGCCTCTTAAAATTGTCGGAAAGGGGACAGTCCACGTGAAGACTTCGAACGGATGCATGCTGAAACTAAATGGTGTCCGACACATTCCTGGTTTGAGGAGGAATCTTCTTTCAATTGGGCAGCTGGATGAGGAAGGTTATGCAGTTACATTCGGCAGCAGAAATTGGAAGATCACCAAGGGAGCCTTGCTGGTTGCTAAGGGGAAGAAGGAGGGTACGTTGTACATGACAACGAACTCAAAGGACTGCATCGATGTTGTTGCCGCTGCAACAAACGATGTGAATTTGTGGCACTGTCGGCTCAGTCACATGAGCGAAAAGGGGATGAAGGAGCTGTGCTCGAAGGGCAAACTGCCCGGCCTGAAGACTGTTGAGGTTGGCTTATGCGAGGACTGCATATTCGGGAAACAGAAACGTGTCAGTTTCTCAAAGGGAAGACGAGCTATCAAACTGGAGAAGCTGGAACTAGTTCACACCGACCTTTGGGGACCTGCAGAAGTTACATCCTTAAGAGGATCCGCCTACTACATGACCTTTATTGATGATGCCACAAGAAAGGTGTGGGTTTATTTTCTCAAAAATAAATCTGATGCCTTTGATGCTTTCAGGAGGTGGAAAGCTCGTGTTGAGACAGAGTCAGGTCTGAGGTTGAAGTGCCTTCGGTCAGATAATGGGGGTGAGTATGAACTGCATGAGTTCAAGAATTTTTGTTCTGAGAATGGGGTTCGTATGGAGAAGACAACTAAGGGGACTCCGCAGCATAATGGCGTTGCTGAACGCATGAACAGAACACTGAATGAGCGTGCTAGATGCATGAGGTTGAAGAGTGGCTTACCGAAGATGTTTTGGGCGGATACAGTGAACACCGCGGCTTTTCTCATCAACAGAAGTCCAACGATCTCGTTGGAGAATGGCATTCCTGAAGAAAGGTGGACGGGTAAAGAGGTAAATCTGTCCTATCTCCGCATATTTGGTTGTGTTGCTTATGTTCATATCAGTTCCGTTGACCGAAGCAAGTTAGACGCAAAATCTGTGAAGTGTACGTTCGTTGGATATGGTGGTGATGACTATGGATACAGATTCTGGGATGAGCAGAATAGGAAGATTATTCGTAGTCGAGATGTGGTGTTCAACGAGCAGGTTTTGTACAAGGACAAATTGAGCGCATCTGATTTTGAGCAAGAAAGTCCGAAGATCATAGAGCTGGATATCTCTAATTCGGGTGGGAGCAAGCAGGATCAGAATGAAGAGATGAGCAGTGATGAGGATCCATCAACTCCGCCAAGGGAGCGGCCTGCTAGGAACCGAAGAGCACCAAATAGGTATTCACCTTCTAATTTCTATTTGTTGCTTACTGACGGTGGTGAACCGGAGTCCTATGCAGAGGCAGTTCGGGTTGATGACAAGGGCAAGTGGAAACTTGCAATGGATGATGAGATGACATCTCTCACATCCAATGATACTTGGAGGTTAGTTGAACTACCAAGAGGAAAGAAGGCTTTGCACTGCAAGTGGGTCTACCGCATCAAGAAGGAGGCAAATGGTAGCAAACGCTACAAAGCTAGGCTGGTTGTGAAGGGGTTTGAGCAGCGCTATGGTATTGATTATACCGACATATTCTCTCCAGTTGTGAAACTAACTACTATTCGGTTGGTGTTGGGGTTAGTTGCTGTAGAAAATTTGTTGTTACATCAGATGGATGTGAAGACTGCATTCCTTCATGGTGATCTGAATGACGAGATTTACATGGTGCAACCAGAGGGCTATGTGGTAGAGGGCAATGAGAATCTCGTATGCAAGCTAGTGAAGAGCTTATACGGGTTGAAGTAGGCACCGAAGCAGTGGTACAAGAAATTTGATGGTTTCATGCGGGAAATCAGTTTCTTGAGATGTCACACCGACAATTGCTGCTACTACAAGAAGATTGAGAACTGTTATCTTATCTTGCTATTATATGTAGATGACATGTTGATTGCAAGAGCTAGTTCAAAGGAGATTGAGAAGCTAAAGAAACAGCTGTCAGAACATTTTTCCATGAAGGATCTTGGAGAGGCAAAGCAGATTTTGGGCATGCGAATCGAGATGGATGAGGCAGCGGGCAGATTATTTCTTTCACATGCAGAATACATTCAGAAGGTCTTGGAAAGATTCAGAATGCAAGATGCTAAGGCTGCAAGTGTTCCATTGGGTAGTCACTTCAAGCTCAGCAAGGAAGATTCTCCAAAGAACAAGGAGGACTGTGCTCAAATGCATAAGATTACATACGCATCAACAATTGGCAGCATCATGTACGTTATGGTTTGCACGAGGCCAGACATTGCACATGCGGTGGGAGTAGTGAGCAGATACATGGGAGACCCCGGGAAAGAACACTGGGAAGCTGTGAAGTGGATCATGAGGTATTTGAAAGGTACTGCTTCTAATGCTTTGTGTTTTGATGGAAAGAATGTAGAGCTGCTGGGACATGTTGATGCAGATCTGGCATCAAATGACTCGGATGGATCAAGAAGCACCACAGGGTATGTTTTTACATTTGGTGGGACAGCAGTATCTTGACTTTCGCAGCTGCAGAAGATTGTTGCATTATCTATTACAGAGGCAGAATATGTGGCCATTACGGAGGCAAGTAAGGAGATGGTGTGGCTTCAGAATTTACTTGGGGAAATTGGGAAGGAGTACAAGAATAGCATTATTTACAGTGACAGTCAAAGTGCTATCTTCTTGGCAAACAACTTAGCTTTTCACAAGAGAACCAAACACATTCGGTTGAAGTATCACTACATCCGTCATCTTCTAGAGATAGAGGCATTGCAGCTTGTGAAGATCCGTGGGAGTGAGAATCCAGCAGACATGTTTACTAAGGTGGTAACCTTGGAGAAGTTGAAGCTTTGCATAACTTCAATTGGCCTTGGTACTTGAAGTTGAAGGCTGGCGCTACCATGCTAACAAGGGAGGATTTGAAGAAGACAGTCTCAAGGTGGGAGATTGTAAGGTGTTAGAGACAGTTTCTTAATTTATTCTTGGAAACACGTTTCTTAATTTATGTTTGGAAACACATCCTAATTTAATTAGGGGTTATGTTGCTTTGGGAACAAGACACTGCATCTCTATAAATACCACTCTCCTCTCTTGTAATCTGCATCCAGAAAATATTAATAACATTCCTGGTTTGGTAGCGCCCCCAGACGTAGTCCTCTGTGGCGAATTGGGTTACCAAATTTCGTGTGTTCTTTAATTGTTCTTCGTGTTTGTGAGTTAAATTCCTAACATGTATGAGGATGTGGCACAAAGTGAGGACGGCGATGCAGCTAGAAGTGCCAGCGATTGGCGGCAATGGTGGTGATGGATGGCAAAGGCATCTTGCAGCGGCATCGCCATCTTAGTTGCGTATTTTTGCACTTATTATGTTTTACTCCTAGTTGGCGAATTTAGTCTTTGATACTACGTAGCTCCGTCCTAAAAAGATTGGTCAATTTTTTATTTTTCTTGGTCAACTTTATATATATGTGTGTGTAATTTATAAATTTTATATACAATATGCATGGAAAGAAGAAAGTAAAGGTAGGGGTGAGGTAGCGAACCTGATTGGCATCTCCCACGTCCAGTTGAACAAGGGAGCCTGGTTTAAGCTCCACCACCTTATGAAATCTATCACTTCTGAGCATCTCAACCTCCTCCACCGGCCACTGTAGCAGGTGCGTACCCGTTTGATTGTCGAGCAATATTGTTCTGGGAATGGCCTGGAGAGAGGCCCAGCCCTTGTGTAAGTCGGCAGATTCAGTGTCGATTTCAGATACCCAACCCCAGTTCACCCGTCTGCTCTTCTGGGGGTCATAGAAGGATTTGGAGGCGTAATAAGTGCCGTAATCGTAGCGCAGGCCGATGCCCGCGTCCAGAGACGGGTGGTCCGGGGTCCACACACGGGCCTCGTACCGCCCTATCGCGTAGTAGTCCTTGCGCTCATCGTCCAAGCTCGTCTTCAGCACGTGCTTCATCACGCCCCCATCGCCGCAGCCGCCGCCGCTGCTGTCCACCCCGCGGGAGGTGCACACTGGGTAGAAGTCCACACACTCCCACATCCCCGTCCCGCCCACCCCGTGCGCCTCGCGCTTCACCAGCCGGAAGTGCACGAAGTCCTCCGTGTCGAACAACATCGCCACCCCCGTGGTGTTCACCTTCGACCCGATCATGATGTGCCACCGCCCCTCCTCGTACCACGCCGTGGTCGGGTCTCGGAAGTCCCGGTCCCCAATGCCCGGAGGGGGCACCAACACAGGGTTGCCCTCGTACTTGGCCCACTTCACCAGCAGCGGGTCCGAGGGGTCGGCGGGGAAGGCGAGGTTCTGCACCTGCACCAGATCCTGGGTGGCCCCCGTGTAGAGCATGACCACCTGGCCGGAGGGCAGCAGGGTGGCGGACCCGGTCCACACCCCGTTGGCGTCGTACCAGTGGTCGGGCACCATGGCGATGGGGAGGTGGTCCCAGTGGATGAGGTCCTTGGAGACGGCATGCCCCCACACAATGTTGCCCCACACGGCTGACTCTGGGTTGTACTGATAGAACAGATGATACCATCCCTTGTAAAATAATGGTCCTGCATGCGCCATACATGCATCATCATCATCTTTAAATTATATACATAGGTGATCAGATCACATTTACATATGCAAAAGTACGTGACAAAGTCCATCCATAGGAAGGATGGATGGAGTATCATTAATTAGTACAAAGTCAAGCATTTTATTTACCTATATGGCACAATGTTTGGGACAAAGGGGTGTGACACAAGTCACACATACAACTTTTAAAGAAAAGTGAAATTGTGAATAAAGTAAGAATGAATTCTAACCACTCAAATATTACCAAATATGATATGAGATAAACATAATGAGACGAACAAAAAAGGAAAAATGGAACAAAGGTAGGGGACGTAGGGAGTATGTTTTAAGAACTAAGAACTGGATTAAGAAGGGATCCGGCAGGAATGCCGGATCACGGGTTAAGTCGGGTGGTTATAGCCGGAAACCCCACTCAATTCAACCTTTATAAAAGATTTTTTTTGAGGTACTAAGAGCAAAGAAAATTATTCTTCATAATTTCAAATAATTACAATATTTATATAGGAAACATTTTAATACAGTGTAAGACGTACTCCAGGATCGAAATTATATATCGATCTGAATTGATTAAATTAGGATGGAGTGGAGTAATACTCACCGTTAGGGTCTGACCATTGAAGATCGAGCCACGTTCCGGTCCATGTCATCAAAGCCGTCATGCATACCAAATCATCCAAACCACAATGTAAATTACGTACCGAGTATTTATATAATGCGCATGCATGTCTAAAAAAATAAGTAATAAAAGTAATTTCTACTCAAGTTTAATGTACATACATACATAATTTTGTCACAATAATCAAGTTTTGTAAACTTGGCAAAAATTATATTACTTCTACTAATAAAGTTATGAAAATTCAATTTTAAAATTTCAAAACGTTTTTAGTTCTATAAAAATTTCTATAATTTTATTATTATTACCATGCGCATGTGTATAGTACATACATACCGTTCATCCAGTTTTTATTGGGTTGAAAATGGAAAGAACTTCTCTGCCAACTCAGCATTTCTTCCGACCATCTAAATGGCTGATATTCCCCCGGCGGCAGGCCAAAGGACTTATTCGACACTCCTTCCCGTTCGCCACGTGCCGCCGGCCTGCTAGTTGAAACCGTCGAATTTGGAAAATAAGACGACGACGACGAAACCACGAGTCTGTTACCTTTTCCATGGATGTACTTGAACACCACAGCAAAGAGTAATGCCACGGAAAAAATCGCCGCTAGGGTGGCGGTAGCGACGGCTTTGGAATGGCGGTGCCGTCGAGTGCCGCCCAACAAAGGGGTGTGGGGAGACGTCGTCGGCTGAATTAGTATAGCGGTTGATTCGTTTTGGGACTCCATGTATATATTTTATTTCCTTCTTATGTAAATATAAATGTTGATTTGGTAATTTCTTTTGTTCTGTTTTCACTATTTTTAAAGCGAATTAGAACATCAGTTAAGTGAGTGTGGGCGCTGAATTAGGCTTTTGTATAGGTAGTGCAAGGCAGGGAGTTTGTCACTTCGAAGATCACCACAGCCACGATACCGAGTCAATCGGATAATAATAATAATAATAATAATAATAATAATAATAATAATAATAATAATAATAATAATAATAATATTAATAATATTAATAATAATAGTAATAATAACAATAATAATAATAATAGTAATAATAATAATAATAGTAATAATAATAATAATAATAATAAAATACTCTGCAACCGGCAAAGTTTTTTTATCATCTTAAGAAAGAAAGCAAGACAAAAAATTTCAGGATTGAACCACCACAAAAAATTACACAAAATGTTCTTTATATCTAAGAAGAACTTTAATTAATTTGTAAGTACTATTCCAGCGAATAGACAAATCTTTAGGAAAAGCAACATATTTCACACCTCTTTCAATCAAATAATTTTCCATTTTAATTTAAGTTGACCATTACCCCAAATACGTCTAATCCCCCCCTTGACTACCTCCATAGCATCTCATAATGCTTTTAGACCATCTTGCACACATAAATTTATAACATGGCATGCACATCGTTGATGAAAAAATCTACCCATCAAAGTATTAGAACCACATAATTCATACAATCTAGGTATAGCAGCAGTATTATTACTAGCACTATCAAAACTTATAGCAAACACCTTATCAATCAAATTATACTCATTTAAAATACGTTCAATCAAAATATAAATATGTTCAGCGGTGTGACGATCATTAAATTCACGAAAAGCAAGAACACGTTTATGCAAATTCCAATCATTATCAATAAAATGTGCAGTCAGACCCAAATAATGTAAATTATGATAAGTATCCTCCCAAGTGTCAGAACAAATAGTAACACGGCCATCAAAGTTTGCAAAAAAAATTGTAACCTATCCTTTTCCGCACGATAAAGCCTTATAATTTCTTTCTTAACCGTTTTGCGACTATGATCTCTAAATTGAGGATTTAAACAAGTTTGTACATAATCTTTAAAAGCAAGACTTTCAGAAAACAAATAAGACAAATTTTCTTCAACAAGTAAGTTAGCCATACAGTCAAATTTTGTGCATCATTGTATTGGAAATTACCAAAAGGTTGGTCATTAGCAAACCTCGATATTTGAGTTTGCTTCCCCTTGTCTTTCGATATTTTCACATACTCCACCAAGTGCGCGGACTTAAGATGCCTTTTGAGGCTCCCGTATCCGCCGGAAGTTCCCAAACTATACTCCCTATTGCAATGATTGCAACTTGCGTACCATTTCTCGGTTGTTTTCTCTTTCCTCTTTGTAAAATTATTTTCTATAATAGGAGATTTAGATTTCTTACCAAGTTGGGATGAACCACCCTCGTCCTCCAACTCTTGCTCATCATCTGGGGTGCCGTGACTGTCGTTGCGTCCCGCGTCCTCCTCCGCATCCTCATCCTCAAGCTCGTCTTCGTGAATGGACTCCGGGATGTTTTGTTGATGGAAAAAGCGACCATCATTTTGCGCCAATAATTGTTGTAGTTGCTCGTCGGACATTACATCCCCATCTTGCCTTTGGTATCCCGTTTCAAAATCTTCTCGACTTTGAGAAGAAGACCCGGCCCGCCCTTTACCTTTGCCTTTGCGTAAACTAGGATAATTAAGTTATCGCAATCTCCTTCCTTCGGTTGCGTTGGAGATTACCCATATCTACAGAATGTCTACCACAGTCCATCTTTAAAATGTAACAAATATTATATTATATCAAATGTTTTAATATGAGTACAATAGTAATAATAAAATGGGACTAATAAAATTATAGCAAATTTCCAAGTACTTTAATAAAAATAACAAGTGTATTTAATTTATTAAAATAGGAGTAACGAAATTCGAATACTTGGAGTGTGTTTATTAAAATAACAAGTGTGTTTATTAAAATAACAAGTAATTTATTAAAATGTAACAATTAACTAGTTTTATACTTTAATGTTTATAGTAACAATTAACTAGTTTTATACTTTAGTGAAAAATGCAATAATTAACAAATTAACTAACAGGGAAATAAAAAATGTAACAATTAACTAGTTTTATACTTTAATTTTTATAGTAACAATTAACTAGTTTTATACTTTTACGATAAATGCAACAATTAACAAATTAACTAATAGGGAAATGAAAAATGTAACAATTAAGTAGTTTTATACTTTAATGAAAAATGCAACAATTAACAAATTAACTAATAGGGAAATGAAAAATGTAACAATTAACTAATTTTATACTTTTATGATAAATGCAACAATTAACAAATTAACTAATAGGGAAATGAAAAATGTAACAATTAACTAATACGATGAATTTAATTACTATGAATTCAAGTGTAACTAATATAATTGTATAACTAATATATAATATAATGTTTATAGTATATAATATATAAGTATATTACTATAAGATGAGTAATACACTTATATCTAATACTTTAATATATATATAAGTACTATAAGTAAATAACAATAAATATAGATAATAAGTAGATATCAAAGTAAATATTAATAAGATGGAGATGTATAAATAGATAATAAATACTCCGTATATTAAGTAGATAATAAATATTAGTAATATAATATACTTCGTATGTATATAAGTAGATAAATAATATATAAGTTCATATAATAATAATTATATAAATAATATATATGTAGAGAGATTTGGAGAAGATGAAGATGGAGATGATTGAGTATGAGAGAATAGAAAATTAGAGAGTAGGAGTAGGATTGTATGATGAAATGATGAATTGAAGATGGTGTAAAAAAATGTATAGAAAATAGGAGTATAAATAGGTTTTTTTTATATCCCCACCCCCACCCCACCCCCAAAACCCCCCGGACCCCCCCTCCGAGCCCTCCAACGGCTATAGAGCCGTTTGGGATTATTCCCAACGACTAGGAGCCCTTTTAATTATAAAAAAAAAATAAAAATGTAGCCGTTGACGGCCCGAACCGGGCCCGGCCGGTACGCCATTTGAAGGACCCGAGCCCGGACCGGATCCCTCGCGGGTCGGGCCTGCCCGGACCGGTCACTGACCAGGCCACCGGGTCGGGTCGGGCCGGAACAGTGCCGGTTTGGGTCGGTTCCGGGTCGGGCCACCCGACCCGAGTTCAGGCCTACCACTAGAGATGCAAAGTTTTCATGATTTTGACATCAAAAGTGGAATAAGGCACCCCTAATGGATACCGGAGTGGAAAAGTTTGCAGAAAATAGCTAGGCGGGCAAGGATATTCTTGAACAGAAGTGAAGATTTTGAGAGTATGAGGGTGTTTGGATCTGATTTTTAAAACTGATTCTGCTCCTTAGCTTCAAGAAGCAGAATTAGAAGTTGGAGTGTTTGGGTAAAAGTGCAGAAGTGATTATGGTGCTCTAATTTATTCTTAGAATCAGTTTTTTTAGAAGCAAGAGGAGACCAGCTTCTGAAAACTGATTCTGATTCTACTTTTATCTCAAAAAAGAAGCAGAAGCGGAATCAATTCCAAACACTCCTATATATAGCACATAATTTTTTCCTCAATTTTAATTTTGGATCATGAATAAAATACAAAACGTCTTTTAAGCCTAATAATCCTTCCGATACATTACTTATTGATCCACTGGTCAATTACTAATTTAATATTCGTTCTTTCTTCTGATTTACATGGTATTCTTAAGGTGCAGAAGCTCACTTCTTACATTTGCGTTGTAATCTTGATTAATACGGAGTATGAGTTTTACTAGCCAAGTCTATAAGCTAAGACTTGGGATGAAAATTTATGCATGTTAGATGTTTTATGATGAAATGTGGTTTGAAGTGACTTAATATGAGCCTTGAATGACAATTAAACACCATAGATATTAAAGTTTGTACACATTGTTTGTCCTTGAAATAATGTTCAAAAATCTGCCACACTTGAACGGATTTAGGTCATGTGTTTGAATCATCTTTCCGGAATTGAGGGCCTTTTTTAGTGTTCCATGATACAGTACAACAAAGCAAAGCAAAGCAAAGAAAAAATGATAATGGATCGATCTATCTTTGTTTTGTGGGCCTATGAATTAATGGGCATCTTGCACTTTTCCAATTGGGCCAGCGACTTTTCATCTCTAAGCCCAACCAGAAACTGCCCCAGCGACTCCAGAAACAGCGCAGCCTGATACACGTCCGTCACGTTCAAGATGTCCGACACCACGCTCCGCCGCAGGCGGTTCGCGTCCACCACCACACCCACCACCTCTTCCAGTTCCGCCGCCACGCACTCCTCGATCATGCCCCCCTCCCGCCCCACCCTCTCCACAAAAGCCGCCTGCGCGTGTCTCAGACGCGCCGCCAGGGCCGGGACCATCAGCCTCAATCCGCACTGGATCTGATCCACCCGGCTCATCAGCGTCTTCGGAGGGCTGCGCCACGCCGTCGCCAGGTACCACGGCTGTCCCGCCGTCGACGCCTCCCCTTCCTCATCGGAGTCCAGGAACGATCGGAGGAGATTGGTGAAGAGGTAGGGGTGGAGGTCGCCCAGCCACAGGAACGGCTTCTCCAACCAGTTCCGCCACTCCGGAAACAGAACCTGAGCCACGTCGTCCGCCGCAGCTTCATCAAGAGCCTCGTAGTACGCGAGCAGGTGGCGGTGCAGCGCCTCCACTTGGGCTGCGAGGATCACCGGAGACACGGTGGATGATGTCATCGCACGGCGGAGATGGGGAAGGTGCTCATTCTTCAGGGCCTTAAACCACTCGCCGTAGAAATCCTTGAACGGCCTCGATGATTTCTTCTTCCCAAGAAAACCTGCTGTTTTATCAGTTTTCATCATCATCATCAACATTGAAGCTGCCAAAATTATGAATGAAGAAAAAGATTTACCATACATACCAAAGGCTCTCAGCATTTTGGAGGACATATGAATTCTTGATTTCTTTATCCGAAGAATTGAAGAAGACGAGTTTGCAGAGACAGAATTGATCGAAGCCCCCACACTTCCTATTAAATTTTAAACCCTTGCCTTAGACACGCGCACATAATATTTCGAGTACATATATATAGGGAGAAAGACCAAAAACAACATCAAGTTTTTAACAAAGCTTAGATTAAACACTAAAGACACGTTTACTTCACCGGTTATTAAACGGTGCTTATTAAGACCTGCATTAGTTAGCGGCGCATAAAATACGCAATGTTATAAGATCGTGTTTACTTCAAAAAGCTTTAAAACACCGTTTAACATTAAAATGTCCAAAATAACTCTATACATATATAGACACATAAACATTCATGAACATAAGTATATAATATAATATGTGGGGGTCACCTCGTACGTGTACTCATACCCCTAACCCCTACCCCACTACCGGGTCGGGGTGAGGTAGGGGTAGGGTAGGTAGGATGTGGGGTCGGGATCAGGGTGGGGGTAGGGTGGGGTAAGGGGGTAGGGTAGGGTGGGTCGGGTAAGGTCGAGGTGGTAGGGGTGGCGGTAGCTATGGATCGAGGTGGGGCCGAGGTGGGGGTGTGGTAGGGTCGTTATAGGGAAAATGGGTCCGGGTGGGGGTGGTGTAATGGTCGGGGGTAGGGTAGGGTGGGGTCGGGGTAGTAAGGTGGGGGAGGGGTGGGGGTAGCGGGTAGAGGGGTAACAATAGGGTAAGGGCAAGGCGTAAATTCGGAAACTGAAAAGTTTAAAGTGCCGCTTAATTATTACATGGGGGGGGTATGCTTAGTAAGCGACACTTTAAGCACCTCTTTCGGTTAGTAAGCGGCTTTTTAAGCAGCGTGCATGTTTACTTCACCTGTCTTACTAACCTAACTGTACTTTAGCAGCGAAGTAAACACCTCCTAAGGTTTTAAGTAGACCAAATAAACACAAAATTATACCTTTTGGTTCCATTTTGACCACCCATTAACCCTAACCCTTACCCTAACCCTAACCCTTCCCTATCGTTAACTCCCCCATGACCCCATCCGTTTGAAGCTGGCTTGGATTCAACAGATAGGCAACAATGGAGGTCGATCGCCCTGCCTCGAAGATTACCTCCGCGTCACTGCCTCGTTGTCGCTCTGCCTCGCCGTTGAAGCCGCCATTGCGTCGAAGCTATAGCTACCAACATTGTTTCATCTCTGCTCCGTTTTTGAAGATTTTAATCTGACCGTGCTCCGTTCGATCCGAGCATCTCACCGGCAACTGGGCGACAGTGTGGTTGTAGGCAGGAAGGCAGCAACAATATGTGAGGGAGAAAGGGCAGCTTGGTTATTAGAGATAGCGACTTACGCCAATGCTCTCCATCACATCCGGGTCTAGAATTCTTTCTATATTGGAATTAATTGAAATGGGTTTCTATTTGATTTTTCAATTTTCCATTAAAAAAGCCTGCTTTAAATTTCCTTAAACTGGCCAAAATGCACAAACCTCATACTTCCCTGTTCCCACTCCCGATCTCTGTATATGTGTTGTTGACTCGTAGATCAGAGAGTTATAGCCTAATACCCGATCCTATGAAGACTACAAGGCTGAGAGGATGTTGCGAGGGGGCAGGGGCTCGGGTGGGGGCTGGCTTGGGAAGCTAGGGATGGCTGGTTGGAGCTCAGGCTAGGGAGTTGCAGAGCGGGGTTTGGCTGCTCGGATCTGGAGCTGGGGAAGTGGCAAGGACGGGACATGGGCTGAGGAGGGGAAGGGTTTTGGACTGGGAACTAGTGTGGGTGTCTTGCAGGGGCTTTTGGAATGATGATGGGGAGTTAACGATAGGGAACACTGGTTTAACGGAGGCGTTAAAAGGGTGGTCAGATTGGAACTAAAAAGTATAATTTTGTGTTTATTTGGTCTACTTAAAACCTTAATGTCTAATATGAGTTTTGTTAAAAACCTTGGTGTCATTTTTGGTCTTTCTCCCCATATATATACATATAATTGTGGATTGAGATCCAATGGAAGTTTGTTCGCAAATATAAGTAGCCTTCCTTACCTTTTATACTCCTTCCGTTTCAATTTGGATGACATAGTTTGACTTCTCAAAAACTAAGGAAAAAAAATTACTGAGTGGTCAATTACACTGTTTTGACATTGTTTTGCGCTATTTTAATATAGATATGTTTAATAAATAAGGAACTAAGGAAGTGTGTCATTCATTTTGAAACATTTGAAAAGGAAAGTGTGTCAAACAAACTGAAACGGAAGGACTATAAAATGTAAAATACTACGTATATACCAAGTATATTTTGGGCATAAACTAGCTTCTATCAATTAATAATAAGTTTGTCAAATGGCTTACATGAAAATTTGGAACCGCATAATAGTTGAGCGGTTGCGCCTATAATCTGATACAGATACATGTGTTTTGTTACCGCACGAATAACACGATTCGCAGACCGTTTACAGAAAGACATATACTTATTACTCTTTGTCAGAATTATCTGGTGTATATCATCAACTAATAAATCAAAATAAAAACCTCTTTTTCTGTTTTAACTCCTTCAAGCATCTTAAGTGTGTCAGTCTCAACTTCATTAAACCCCCACCTCTCCTTAAGAGCCTCCAACGTAGCTTCCCGAATACCCATCGCCTCAATCTCTGCCGGTGACCAATCCATCTACCTCGAATCACCTAAGGCTTTTACAAATTCACCTTGATCATTTCTAACTATCCATCCCCATGCTCGAATGTCTGTCTGCATTTACCACCACGTCCACATTGATCTTGACGTACCATGGCTTCGGCTTTTGCCACCGAGTTTCCCCACTCCTTGTTGTTGGTTTTGAACCAGCCATCATGTGATGTGCTTCCCTCCAACTAGACACCATACTCGTTGCACATCTATCACCATTGATGCTCCCCTCGTCTTCCCTTTCTAGACCGCCTCATTCCTCCTCTTCCACATACCCCACAACAATGTGATAAAAGTACAAGAATCTTACCTACTTGATTTCTTTGTGACTGTTTTGATCCATTCTTCAACAATCCCTTCTACCAAGACAAAACATTTCCCCGCTTTTCACCAGGCCTCCTTCTTGTAGCAACAATGTGGTCCGTAGTTTCCTATTCTTGTCCACAGAGTTCGCAAACTGTTTGAAACGTGGTTCGTAGTTTCCTTTGTATATTTGCAAGGGATGGTAGAGAACCATATACTAGTTTCCCAAACAAGCTATTCAATTTTGGGTGGCATTGGTAGCTCCCACACCAAACCCCACCCTTTCCAAGCACCCCGGATCATGTGGTCCTGATAAGGCACTGTAGCGCCTCTTCACCGAAAACAATCCATTCTTCTCTCCACCCCATCAGGAGCCATGATCTTCTATCCTGCAAACTAATAGGGATGCTAAGAATCCTTTTTTCTGTCCTCCTCATCAAACAAAGCAATCACCTTCTCTTCGTTCCATTTAGTCCCAATAATATCCCATAAAGCTGCCACATTCATATTCAAAATCTCATCCGGCCTAGCTGAGGACACTCAACTCGTACCCGACGTCGGGAGCTGACGAGCACTTTGTTGTAGTGCGTCAAAATAAATTCGATACTAACACTTATACATAGAGTGAAGTAGAGTTCGTATCCACAAGGAAATGAGTAATTCTCTTTTTATAAAACTAGTAAATAAAAGGGGGGTTTTAGGATTGTTGAAATTTAATTAATTTAAACAACAAGTTGAATTACTTATATGTGATTTAATTCAAAGATAAAAAAACTTTGCTTTGCTACTTTCACTTGTTGATATATTTAGTCGATCCTTGTTATATCGATAACATATCCCCTCTCGAATACTCAATTGAGGAGTATCTCCAATTCATCGAGGGTAGTTATTAAAAACGACCATTCATTAACAACCCTTACTATTAATCAAATATAGAACAACGTCGTATACCGATTTAATAGTAACATTTAATCTTTTTAACTCCTTGATGAAATCAATTGAGATTGATAACCTCAACACAACGGTTTCGGTTTAACCAACAAAATTAATCCCTCTTAAGTTTATTAACCACGACCGTGCATTAATAAATTGAAGTTACTTACTTGTAAAACCATCAACAATTAACCATCGGTTCGTCGATCGTTTCTAGTAATAATTAATGCCGAAGCATTAACTAATCGTCACTTAGCAACACCCCAACATTAATATAGAAATGAGATTAAGGGAAGAATTAATAATCAAGAGAAGAAGTTAAGAAAATAACTCACAACTTTAATAACCAACAAGCTTCAAGAGCAAAACCAAGAAATGGAAGTTTAGCTCCTCATTTGGAGCCTAAACATGCTAGAAAATATAAAGAAAATGCTATTCTAAGTTGAGCTTAAGTATATGGAAGAAGGAGTGAATAAAAGTGAAGGAAAATGGGGTTATTTATAGGTGTTTTCAACACCTATGGCCGGATACCCAACCGAGTATTTGACATACCCGATCAGGTATTTGTCAAATCGTATCTTTTTCCCACGTCTTTGTGTTTTTCTGCACGTCTTTTTGCCGGAAATCACTTAACACCCGACCAGGTATATGGAATACCCGGCCGGGTATTTGCTAGTTTCGCAGGATTTTCCTCTTTAATTTCTCTTCATACCCGACCAAGTTTTGAACTAAACTCGGGTTTCTTCATCCTTTTTGCTTCCAAACTTATCCTAAACTTATAGCCCAACTAACTACTACTTACAACAAACCATAAAATGATAGAAATACAATTACAATCAAATACAAACTAACAACTACAAACTATCACAATAAAAGTAAAAATACATCACAAACAAATATAAAAATGTAATTTATGAACTAACAATAAGTGCGTATCAAACATCCCCGCGCTTGAACTTTTACTTGTCTCGAGTAAAACAAATCATGTCCATGAAGTCCACTATCTCAAAAGAGAATTAAAAACAACCATCCACAAATATTTTGACAATCAACATCAAATGTTTTCATGATCAAGAATAAAATAGAAACGGGTGGGTCTTCAACTCCATCTCATCTCCTATTTCCTGCTCATGTGTACCCTTAGGATCCAGCAAAGATAAAAGAAATATTTTCTCTCATTCTC